CAAAACAAAACTTCACTCTTCAGAGCCAGTCTTGAAGGCAAAGAACATAATATCCAGCATAAACAGAACACATAGATGGGGATACAAGCATCATAACGTCACCTTAGGACAATCCTGCACCCAAAATTCTGTCCTGCACCCACTGCTGCATCCTGAGTCCTGTCCTGCACCCCGAGTCCCGTCTTGTACCCAAATTCTGTACTGCCCCATACGCCAAACACAAAGCTGCCCCCAAATCCCAACCCCACCCCTCATTCATCACCACATCCCTGTTCTACAGCCACTCCCCACTCTTCCCCCTCTCCCACTGCTGTCCCACCCCCCAATTTATCCCCAGTGTTCCCCTAGTAAGGTCCACGGCCACCACCCCAGCCCCACCTTGGTGAGCAGCAGGATGTACTCGCTGGTCTGTCTGCACCAGGGACAATGGGGGGACACTGTGGCCACCAGCATGGATGATAGCAGGACCATTGGGGCCACCAGAATGGCCAACAGTGACAGTGATTGGACAGGATGGCCAGTGGGGACCATGGCAGAGCCAGCACAGCCACCAGGATGGCCAGCAGGGACAATGGTAGGGTCACCAGGGCCACCAGGATGGCCAGCAGGGACAATGGTAGGGTCACCAGGGCCACCAGGATGGTGTCATGATCCGCTCGTACAAGCAGGGGTCATGATGGTTCGTTAACTGATCTCAGAGTGCAAAAGCAACACGGAAGGGGATTTTGGTATTAATCAAAACAAATGCACCTTTAATTGAGTGCCCACAGCAGATGTGATGGAAGGATTAGAAAGGAGAATAAAGGATAGAGAGAGAGAGAGAGAGAGAAAGAGGGGAGGAATAGCTGCCAATGGAGAGATGAAACCCTCGTGGTCCAGCCAATAGATCCGTCTTGTCATGCCATCAGTTAACGAACCATCATGACCCCTGCTTGTACGAGCGGATCATGACACCATCCTGGTGGCCCTGGTGACCCTACCATTGTCCCTGCTGGCCATCCTGGTGGCCCTGGTGACCCTACCATTGTCCCTGCTGGCCATCCTGGTGGCTGTGCTGGCTCTGCCATGGTCCCCACTGGCCATCCTGTCCAATCACTGTCACTGTTGGCCATTCTGGTGGCCCCAATGGTCCTGCTATCATCCATGCTGGTGGCCACAGTGTCCCCCCATTGTCCCTGGTGCAGACAGACCAGCGAGTACATCCTGCTGCTCACCAAGGTGGGGCTGGGGTGGTGGCCATGGGGCATGAAAGTGGTCAAGAGAGTGGTGGTGGCCATGGAAGGATTGGCCATAGAGGCCAGCAGGATGCTGGTGGCCATGGGAGGCTTGGGCATAGACTGGTGGCCACAGGGGAACAGTGGTGGCCATGGGCAGCACTGACCATAGAGCTGGTGGCCAGTGGGATGGTGGTGCCATAGGGTGGTGGCCATGGATGGGATTTGGCCCCGGGTGGCCACAGACTGGTGGCCCCAGTGGCCCGTGGCTCCTCTTGCCCCTGCAGGACGAGAATGGCCGCACCCTGTCAGATGAGGACATCACGGCTGAGGCTGACACCTTCATGTTTGAGCGTGAGCATGAGCTCACAGGTGCCACTGGGGAGGAGCCACTCCAGTGTCCCCTCACTCACCCAGTGTCCCCACAGCCACCACGGCCAGTGGCCTGGCATGGCTCTTCTACAACCTGACCGGCCATCCTGAGCACCAGGAGTGATGCCGCCAGCAGGTCCAGGAGCTCCTGGCTGGCCGGGACACTGCAGACATTGAATGGTGAGACGTCCCCAGGGCCACCCTGGTCATGTGGCTTGGGGACACGGTGCCACCCCCGCTTGTCCCCAGGGACGACCTGTCCCAGCTGCCCTTCACCACCATGTGCATCAAGGAGAGCCTGCGGCTGCACCCTCCTGTCACTGCTGTGTCCCGGCGCTGCACCGAGGACATCCCCCTGTGTGATGGCCGTGTCATCCCCAAGGGTATGGCATGGCCAGGGTGTCCCCAGTGTCACCACCCACCCTCATCTGCTGTCCCTAAAGTGGCCATTCCCATCCCACCAGGGGTCATCTGCCTGAAGAGCATCTATGGGACCCACCACAACCCAGACCTCTGGCCCAAGCCTGAGGTAGGGCCACCCTATGAGGTGTCCCTGTCACCATGGTGGTGACAGCTGTGTCCCCTCGGTGTGACTGTGTCGGTGTCACCCCAGGTGTTCAGTCCTCTGAGGTTCAGTCCGGAGAACAGCAAGGAACGGTCCCCGTCGTCCTTCATCCCCTTCTCTGCTGGCCCCAGGCATGTGCTGGAGTGGGCACAGGAGTGTCCCCAAATGTCACCCCTGTCCCTGGCTGGGTTCACAGTGGGGTGGCAGTGGGGAGGAGCAGGGAACAAATGGTAGCATGAAAGGGACAGTATCATGGTGGTGGTGGGGATGTGTTGTCCTTGGCCATGGGACACCCCATGGCATGGACATGTCAACCCGTGGACTTGTCTCTAGGTCACTTGTGTCACCATCCATGGCCATGTCCCCCATGTCCTCCTCCATGGCCATAGAGCCCCATGTCACCATCTCTATCTGTGACACCCCCCATGCCCAATATCGCCATCCACGGCCATGTCCTTGACCCCATCCCCACCATATCCCCACCATATCCCCACCCAGGTCCTTGTCCCCATCCCTACCATGTCCCCACCCAGGTCCTTGACTCCATCCCCACCACATCCCCACCCAGGTCCTTGTCCCCATCCCCACCATGTCCCCACCCATGTCCCACAATGTCACCATCCGTGTGTTAGTTAAATGTCTTTATATTTACCCCAATGTTGGGTGAAGGATAATGAAAAATGAATGAAAATAAAGGCCAAAATAAAAGCATTTACGTGTCCATGCTGGCTGAGTATCCGTGTGCCTGGGCGGGTAGAAAGGACCTTTTCTAGAAAGATTTCCACTCCATTGTCTCCAAAATCCTGGGTTTTGCCCCAGTCAAACACCATTTGGCTGTGGAAGATGCTGGTGGGCCAGAGAGAATTAGAATCATGTAATGATTCAGGTTGGAAAAGACCTCCAACACCATTTGGAATTCTGGATGCCACTCAAAGCAATGATTGGATGCAAAAGGTGAGACTTTTTTGGTGTCAAAAGTAAAAAACTGTGCTGTCCCCTGTGAAATTCTGATGTCTGTTTGCATCCCAATGGATTTTTCTCTGGCCGTGTCCAAGTGCCCAAGGGGAGCCAGGAAGACGTGGAGACCACCAGCCAGGTGTCTTCCCAACATGGATCACCAGGACCATGGATGACCAAGTCTCTGCCCAGCGAGGGTCACTGTGGACCATCCAGTGGGGGTCCCCAATGGGGGATGGAGTTGAAGCAGCGCTCAAAGCTCTTCCTGTCACTGCAGGACACAAAACAACACGAGCGCACACACTGCTGCTCTCAAGGGGAAGAAAAGGGAAGTTTATTTCCTGACTCCAACATTTATAATTTTCTAAAAGCGACCGAGGATTGGAGGGTGAAAGTGCCACCTCTCCAATGACACTGGACAAACCAACAGTCCATCAAATTTTTCTTCTTCTATAAAAGAATGCCAAACAAGAAGTTATTTACAGAAAGTGTTTGAGAAAGTTTGCTACAAGAATGTAAACATTAGAAGGCTCAGAAAATCTTTAAAAATCAAGGTAACACTCTTCCTGCACACAGGGCACTTGTTGGGCATCCCTTACTGCTGCCTCCCTTGGTGTTGGGTCACGGCAGAGTTCTGGGAGAAGCTCTTCCCACACTTGGCACACTGTCAGGGCCTCTCCCCAGTGTGGATCCGCTGGTGGGTGACGAGGGTGGAGTTTTTCTAAAAGCCCTTCCTGCAGTCAGGGCAGCAGAAGAGCCTCTATTCTGTGTGAATCTGCTGATGCTTGAGGAGATGGTATCGGCTCTGAAACCTCTCCCCACACCCAGAACACTCATAGGGTCTCTCCCCAGTGTGGATTTTCTGGTGGGCAATCAGCTTAGAGTTCTGCCTGAAGCATTTCCCACATTCCCCACACCTGTAAGGCCTCTCACTGGTGTGGATCGTCTGGTGCAGAATCAGCCTAGTGCTCTGACTGAAGCTTTTCCCACATTCCCTGCACTTGTAGGGCCTCTCCCCAGTGTGGATCCTCTGGTGGGCATTCAGATGGCAGCTCTGCCTAAAGCTTTTCCCACATTCCCTGCACTTGTAGGGCCTCTCCCCAGTGTGGATCCTCTGGTGCAGAATCAGGCTGGAGTTCTCGATGAAGCTCTTCCCACACTCTGAGCACGTGTAGGGGCACTCCCCAGTGTGCATTGTCTGGTGGATGATCAGGCGGGAGCTGTCACGGAAGCCCTTCCCACACTCCCCACACACAAAGGGTCGTATCCCAGTGTGGATCATCTGGTGGAGTTTCAGGCTGGAGCTCCTCCTGAACCCTTTCCCACATTCTCCACATTTACAGGGCTGTTCATTGGTGTGGATCCTCTGGTGGGCGATCAGGTTGGAGTTGATCCTGAACCCTTTCCCACATTCCCCACACTTGTGGGGCCGTTCATTGGTGTGGATCCTCTGGTGGACGATCAGGTGGGAGCTGATCCTGAAGCTCTTCCCACATTCCCCACACTTGTGGGGCCATTCATTGGTGTGGATCCTCTGGTGGACGATAAGTGGGAGCTGATCCTGAAGCTCTTCCCACATTCCCCACACTTGTGGGGCCATTCATTGGTGTGGATCCTCTGGTGGACGATCAGGTGGGAGCTGATCCTGAAGCTCTTCCCACATTCCCCACACTCATAGGGCCATTCCCCGGTGTGGGTCCTCTGGTGGATGAGCAGGTGGTCGCTCCTGCCGAAACTCTTCCCACATTCCAAGCACTGGTGGGGCTTCTTGCCATCATCAAGCTGCTCATGGACCACCACCTCAGCGCTCTGGCCAGATCTCTGGCTGCCTTCCTGGCTCAGGGTGGGTCTTTCCTCCTCAGAGCACCCTGGGCTGGGTTTGCAGCCCCTCCTCCTGTGGGATCTCCGGGGCTTTTCCTCCCCGGTGGATTCCTGTGCCCTGGAGCCACTCAAAACGGCCTCTTCCACCAGGTTCTGCTGTGGGGATTTGTCCTCCCTGGTCTCCATCCTCAGCTCCTTCCCTGGGTGAGGAAGGACAAGGACAGGATGGGATTTGCCTCCGTGCCACAGGGAAGGGGAAGGAGATCCCCCCAGTGCATCCCTGGCTGGACAGCATCAGCAGTGGGGCTGTGCTGCAGCTGGGGCCGTGCTGGGCTGGGAGATGGAGCAGGACAGAGGGGAAAAGGGGCACTGACTTCCTCCTCACCTGCCTCAGTGCCCTGGGGCATCTTCCTCTTCCTCACAGCCTTCTCCATCCAGATGAGGTTTGGGAATGGGAAATCCTGATTTGGGGGAAAAACAAGATGTGAGTGCACTGCCTTTGATGGTCCCACTGGGCAAGTCCATCTCTAGAAGTCACTGGGTGTCTGGTGGCCAGAAATACCTCCAAAAATCAAGGAGTCCAAAAACCTCTCCCAGGAGTTCCCTGTTTCCAGTGTCCTCACTTTGGGGTTATGGGGGTCCCTCTTCTCAGAGCTGCTGGGGGGGCTGTGGGTCCTGGGCATTCCCCCTCTCCCGGGTCCTGCTCAGACATGATGAGGGGGTTTTGGGGGGTCCCAGGGCTCACCCTCCCCTGATTCTGTGGAAATAGTTTTTGAGATACGTGCCAATTGGCAATGGAATCAGCAAATGCTTCTATCTGCTGTGTCCAAAACAGACACAAAGAAAGGTTTTGAAACTTTCTGACCAAACAGCCAAAAAAAGCAACAAAATCAAAGAAGTATAGTAGAGCAAAAGAGATGAGGTAGCAAGATGACTGATGCTTAGAACAAATTAGAGGAAGTTGGGGTAAAGCTAAGAGATATTGCAACAAAGCAATTAAAAGCTTATGTATAATAAAAAGCTTGATGCACTTGACAAAATCATGTAGCAGACACCAGTGCAAGGCCTCCCTCCAGACAACCACAAGGATAGGAATCAAGGATAACCTAGAAATATTATGAAATTACTGCTCCCAGCTTATTGATATTTGCTAATTTGGACTAACCAAGCACATTAGAAACTGCTTTGTAGGCTTAAAAACAGTATATATACTTTACTGAACTGTGTGTGCTGTGAGTGGAGCAGTGACTCCCCGGCCACCCAGCGCTGCTTGCTTGCTTTAAAATAAAAGGTATAGAAGTAAAATTTGGATTGACCATGGAAATTTTATATCAGGTGTTCCAGGGTCCCCTTTCCCCAGCATCCCTCCACTCCAGGCACTCAATGCTTCCCCTGCTCCCCTTTGCACTCCTGAGAGATCCAAAAATATCCCCTCATCAAATGAATTAAAAATACCTCTCTCAGCGACACCAAAATATATTTGGGACTCAACTCCTGTGAAAAACACCAATCACTTGTTTTTAAAATTTTAAAAGTTTAATAGTAATAAAATAGTTCTACAAATACTAATACAATTAGAGTAATAATAATTTGGACAATTTGAATTAGGACAATATGAGACAACAAATATAAAGAGTTACGGACGACTGGGTACCTTTTTCTGGGCAGCAGGAGCCCAAAAAAGGACACCCATTAGCAAAGGATTAACCCTTAAAAGCAATAACCCGTTGCACATTCATACACCTCATACATGATGCATAAATTCCATTCAAACACAGGATTCTGTCTGGCCATCATCAACCTCTTCCCTCTAATCCTAACAGCCCCTTCGAGGCAGGAAGAAGTTTGTTTCTTCTGAAAAGAGAGCAAAAAATTCTTTTTTCTGAAAGATTCAGGTGTCCTGTGGCTGCTATCTGATGCGAGTGCCTCATTCCTTTCTTTAAAAAAACCTCACTGACATAGTTCTTCTTTTAACTACAAATGTTACCCTTTAATTACAAGACTACATTTATTATTAAACTGTTAATACAGCACTACTAATCAATACATCAAAATACATATGGTAAATGTGAAAATGCCTGTATTTTATGATTGGCTTTTTGCAAATATTAAAATGAATATTATATGTGTTGCGTTAGAAAGTAATGCTGTATTAATTCTCTTAAGTACCGTGTTAAATATAGTTTTAGGTTATAAAAATTGTTAACATAGAAACAATGCTATGTAGGATACTTTTTTAAAGAAAGGACTTGCAGTGAGATAGCAGCCACAGGACACCTAAATCTTCCAGAGAAAAAGAATTTATTGCTCTCTTATCAGAAGAAAAGAACTTCTTCCCGCCTCGAAGGTGCTGTTAGGATTCAGAGGAAGAAGCTGACACTGACCAGAACCACAGAATCCTGTGTTTGAATGTTTGAATGGAATTTATGCGTCATCTATGAGGTGTATGAATATGCAATGGGCTATTGTTTTTAAGGGTTAATCTTCATTAGCGGGGGTCCTTTTTTGGGCTTGTGCTGCCCAGAAAAAGGTACCCAGACGTCCGTAACTCTTTATATTTGTTGTCTCGTATTGTCCTAATTCAAATTGTCTAAATTATTATTACTCTAATTATATTACTATTTGTAGAACTATTTTATTGCTATTAAACTTTTAAAATTTTAAAAACAAGTGATTGCCGTTTTTCACACACGATAAGCACACATACCTTTGCTTAAAACAATGCTTGCTTATTTCGAATACAATACCTGCTTGTAAGCCTTAAAACACAACGCACTGAGCTCCATTCTTAAGCTTCAACTATCCTAATATCTTGCTAGATAAACTTTCTGCAGCTTAGAGAGCTATTCAGACAAGCGTTAATACACAGGGCATTGTTCTATTTGCCCTTGCTTTTTCTACAGTTTGAACAATTTTTCTGCTGACCTATCTCATGGCTGCGCTCTACTCACAGTTCTGCTGTCTCTGAGGCCCGCCTTTTGCAGCTTTCCCAAACCCCTCTGATTTTATGGATTCCCACAGTAAATATCTGCATAGAGCCATACAATACGCACTTTTCACAACTCCGGAATCGGCAAGGTCCAAACTCCAGCAGAATCCCCCTCTTCCCCCAAAAAGCCCTCCCGGAGCTGCCGCTTCCCCTCGGCGCTCACCTGCGGGACGCGGGGCAATGCGATGCTGCCGGGCCCAGCCGAGCTGCGGGCTCGCCGTGGAACCCCGCAATGCTCCTTGCCCTGCTGCTGCTCCTCCTCGGGCTGCTCCCTCCGTGCTGCTCCTGTTCCTGCTCCTCCCCTTCCCCTCTCCCTCCCCTTCCTCCCGCTCCAAGCCCGGATCCCCCTTTCGCACCCCCTCTGCCCCGCAGCCGCAGCAGCGCCGGCTCTGGGGTGTTGGGGAAGATGAAACAGGAAAGCCTTACAAATATGATTGTCTGGCAAAAGATTTTGAGAATATGGAAGCTATAAGCGAGATGGAAATGAAAGCAAGCTATGAGATCCCTTAGTTACTGAACAACGGGAAAACAACGGTGCGGCCGCTGAAAGTAACCCCCTTTTGATGGAACAATTCCCTCTGCTTGCAGGCAGGTCCCAGGGTCAGAGCAGCCCCTACTGAAGGGGTCCACGGAGGAGTTTTTAAGGTTTAAAATGTAGCACAGTATGGTAATGTAATGATTCTTATAGGTGGTATGAAAATGCTGTAGGATTTGTATCTTCTACTAGATTGGTTAGTGAGAATCAGAATATTCAACACAGAAGAAGATTTATTATATTGTAATGGGAACTTTGCTGTTTTAGCTCTTACCTCTCTTACTCTTGCTCTTACCTCTTGTCTCCTAGCTCTTGCCTTTGATGCTCTTACCCCTTTTACTCTCTTACGCTTTTACTCTCTTACCCTCTCATCCTCTCTCCCCCTCTCCTCTCTCGGGCCTGCTCCAGCTGTGGCTGCAGCTCCCAGCAGGGCCCTGCACCCAGGCCCTTTGCAATAAACCCCAAATCCCAGCAGGGCCCTGCACCCAGGCCCTTTGCAATAAACCCCAAATCCCAGCAGGGCCCTGCACCCAGGCCCTTTGCAATAAACCCTGTTATGTTTGCCCAATTATCCATAATAAAAAAAACCAAACAATATTTAAGGTAGCAGCAATTTTAATTGAATAGTTTAGAAAATATATAAATAAGGGATAATTTGGTTCAAATAATAGCGCATAAGCAAAAACAACTGCGGGGTACGGAGGGCAGAGTTCAATGACCCTTGCCACTTCACGTACCAGCTTGCCAAGTGAAAGTCACCCCTTATATGCCATGTGTAAATGCCATCTCCTCCCATTTTCGGTTCATCATATCTCTATCTCCGCCCTCATTACCACCCTTATCACGCATGCGCCACCACTCGGTTTGGTGGTCACACAAGTCTTTGGGGGTCGTCACTGATGAAGGCTCTGTAGTCTTCTTCGTTGTCCTTTAATTCACCTTTGGGTTACACATGCGCACCAAGCCAGTACAATGTAAGCCAAGACTAATGTATCACTGCATCTGCATATCAAGACAATAAGTCCCTTATAATTAGCATTTTCTTGGACCCAACCAGGTTCTTGGTCATTTTTAGCAACGGTATCTTCAGCTTCTTTCCTGTGGTCCTTGAGAACATCTGCTGGGAAGGGGGGGTGGGTGGAGACCCTCCTTTCCCTCTCTTCTTTGGCATTACAACTTTTAGCTGTTAACTATTTTATTATTCTCAAATATTAATTACTGTATCAATATTGATTACTGTTTCAATTTTTATCAGCACGAATCACACCTATTTATCACAACCCCAAGTTCCACGACCTGGCTGCAGAGATCTCTCATCTCCATGCGTCCCGACCGTGCCACCCCCATCAATCCTACACCGGGACAGGGGGAGAAACCCCCAGAGCCCCCAGCGATGGGCAGGGGGCTCGGGGATTAAGATGTACTTGTAGTTTTCTTGTTATGTCTAGGCTCTGAAGCAGGGTTTGTCATTGTTGTGAAACCAAGATTTGTCAGGACCCAGGACATCCCTCTGGCTGTCCTGAGCAGCCCAGACCCCTGCCAGGGGGCTCAGAGACCCTGGCACAGAGCCCAGAATGGCCCTGTGGTTTTGATTATGACCCATGGAGCAAGTTACCAACCTTCTATGAAGATCAGCAAGCCACAACAGTTCAGGTAGCGTATTAGTGAAGCTATTACGGGGTGAAAATGTAGATTTTGGGGTTTCTGGTATGGGGGTTCAGGGGGCAAGATGGAGGGAACTGTGTGTGTCCAGCTTTCTCCTTCTTCTTCTGCTGTGATGGTGGCACTTACCGATTGGTTTAGAGTAGAAGCTCACTGTCTAACATAGATGATAGGTATTGGAAAGTAATTGTAAACATTGTACACGTAGTTTGTAGTAATAAGACATAACACTGCCCCGGGGGAGGCAGAATGCCTCAGACTGTCCTGCTGAGCTGACCTTGGCAGGGCAGGAGAAAATTTTTTACAGATAAGGTAAATGAAACAACCTTGAGACTGAGAAATGAAGAGCCCTGACTCCTTCTTCAAGCGCCGGGCTGGGAAAAGAGACTTTGGAACTGTTCTCGGGGTCACTCTGACCAGCCAGAGACCCTGACAAAGATTAATCAAGGATTAATACAGAAATAGATGTTCTAATCTATCCTTGCACTTCTGCTGGTCCCTAGGAAGGCTGGTGGGTGATTTCTGTCTGTGTTCAAATATTTAAAGCAACAACAAATAGTCCCACACTTTATATTTCAGATAAACAATTTAATGGCTTCTTAACATTGGTTTCACAATCTTATAATGTGCATATTTTACTCCTTGTGAAGCTGAAATCTTTTTAAATACAAGTAATTCTACTGAAATTTTAGAAGTTTCAAAACCATTTTAACATACTGAAAACAAAATAGTCTAAAAAGACAGGTCTAACAGCCATTAAAATGCAGGAAAAAGCAAGAGGACTTCAGGTAAAAGAACATTCATTTAACAGCTACATTTCTTCCACTAAGTATTTATGTGTTAAGAAAAACAGAGCAAATGTAAAAGAACAGAAGTTTATAAAACCAGAGTTTATAATGCCAGAAACAGCTTTGAAACAACTTTTTATGTAGTTCTATTTATTTCAAAATTTAAAATTGGCTCATTTTTGTCCCAACATTTTGAAGTATTAAACACACTGAGTATGACAGAAAAAAGCAACAAATTCCTAACCCTGAGAGAAGAACAACCGTGCAAGCAATGCCACAGCACTGGGCATTTCTGCATTTTAAGCAAAGAGCTTTACAGCATCTTTAATTTTCCTTTTCCTGTCCATTTTGGAGAGTGCAGTCCAGCCCGCCTCGCGCATCCTCCTCATGGTTTTGAGTTTCAGAGCAGAGCCTGGAGATTTCACACTGCATGGAGCTGGGCTCTGGGAAGGAAAATAAAGCCATCCTTTCGTTTCTGTAAACAATCTGATTAACTGCTTGCTTTAATCTTAGGAAAGGCTAACATACCTTTTTTGGTGCTGTGGAATGTAACTGTGAAGCTTGTGGATAATCTTTGTACAAATTTTTAAATGTTTCTTCTTCCGAGACTATGCTCTATATGATTAAAAGTTGAAAGTTAAATTAAAAGTTACTTAGTCACACTATATTAAAATTACTTTTTCTTTCTGCCTAAGGATATTAAATTATGGAAAAGAAAAGTTGTCATTATGAGGCATAACAGTTCAATAAAAAGAATGTTAATTATGTACATACAATTACAATTCCAGAAAGAACCAATAAATTAAAAATATACATAAATATTGGCTTGAATGTGGAAGCCCAAACTCTTTATTTCCATTCTCAGCCCCAGCAGTGAGCACAAAGAGCTGCTCAGCCCATGATTTGTTCTCTGGCTCTTACCAGGTCAGTGTGCTCAGAGCTGTCTGACTCAGTGTCCAGCTGCACAAGCACTTTCTGCTTTTTCCTGCTGCTCTGCCCTGCAGGCAGGTTTGTGCTTCTTCCACTCTGCATTTTATCCCTTGGAGGAGTCTTTATAACACATGTCTGGGAAAGAAAATGTTTCTCTTTTTAGATTACATTTTATGGGGTAAGTATGGAATCTAAAGCCAAACTCAGGACCCAGTTTACAGTCTGAGTGTCCAAGAATTCACCTGAGAGAAATGGTGGAACTCTGATCTTTCCATCCAAACATGGAGCAAAGACCCAAACAAAGTGGGGTGGAAATATAATTTTTTATATTATTTTTGTTGCCAAATGAGGAGAATGAAGGGGAAGCTATGGAAGAGCTGAGTTTCATGGCACATTGTATTTAAGTTCTCCATGCTTATCTGCAGAAATCCAGGTTATTCTGAACTGCAGCCACTACATTGGACTCTATCAAACATCAAAGAAAATGGGAACAAACAAAACTGCAGGAAAAGGCTTTCAAAGAAAGATTGGTAGCTACATCAAGATTGGTGTTTCTTAAAATAGTCTTTTCACTAGAAGTGAAACTGAGAAGCATTGAATGGTCCAGTGCAGTCCTTTTTTAGACAGAAAACATCAAAATGGTGCTGGATTCCATTGTTCCAATGTGAAAACCACAAGTGAACTCCTGACAGGGAAGAAGGGTCAGTTCTGCAGTCAGGACTACTTTGATACTTTGACCATTTTTACAGCTGTATCAGCTTTTTTCTCTTCCATAGAGGAAAAGTGCCTTTACAAATGGACACTTTTAAGACTATGTAAAATAATTCTAGAGACATAAAAAAATCAACAAGTGAGCAAGAAAGATTACACACTGGGAGCCCTTCCAGAAACTGCTGTCTCATATCTCCATGGAATGGTGTGACCTTTTAAAATCCCTTCTTATCCCAGGGGGAAAAAAAGAATCATCTACAGAGAAGTAAGAAATAAAAATTCACTGTTAGGAGTTACAAAACTTCAATGTTGGACTGCCCAAGGGGCTTCCTGTACTGAAGAAGACTTTTTTTTTTTTTTAGGAATATAATTTGGAGAGTTTCTATTTTTTACATGAATAGATTCACTGCATAGATCTAAACAAGGTTTAGGAGTCCCAGGAACATCAATTTGTATTTTCTATAATTTAAAATTTTAAGTCTAAAGCATTCTACCGTCTTTTGTTGAATGGAAATAAATTATCATGGCACTTCAATTGATTCTACACATATAAATACTACCAAATTCTAAAAGCAATTAAAAAGTTAAAGTTAC